TCTCATCCGTCGTCGTCGTCGTCGTCGTCGTCGTCGTCGTCGTCATCATCGTCAACATCAACATCAACATCGACATCAACATCGTCGTTGTCGTCATTGTCATCGTTATTGTTACCTTCGTCATTATAACCATATCACTGTCATCGACATCAACATTATCATTATTTAGTGTTTCAATGATTTCTGTATTATTTGATCATTTCTTAATTAGTATCTTATTCAGTTGATTTATTTTCTAATAATTCAAGATTTGCTCTAGTTCGTAATATCGTAAGGATACCAGTATGATAGAAACGCGCTCGAGTCGTTGTGTTTCCAGAGAAATGAAACAAGCCGATGATGCCAGTTTTTCTGATAGACGGTAGAAAAAGAATCGTCGCCTGACTATCTACTTGTATTTGATTCAACTGTCGAGTCAATTTCACCTTGAAAAGCTTCATTTCCCATTGTTCCTTTAAAGTTTCTGTGCATAGCTGTGTGTGTACGGTCGTGGTGTAAATATTTCACAAACTTGTCGAATTTGTAAAAAGATTTCGCGACATGGAACAACGACAAATGCTTATTCGATATAGTTTGGTACGCGCGTAATCGCATCGCGCGGTATGTTTGTAAAATTAATGCGATACATCGCAGACAATCGCTTACGAATGTTACGAACGAGTGGCCATCCCATTATAGGAGCAATAACGGTCACGTACGAGTATGCCGTACACCGCGAGGGGCATGCCGTTCTTTCAAATGACCGATCGAAAGATTTTCATTTTCTCTGTCTTGAAGTTTTGTCAACTTTGTCCAGATTTTCGAGCCGTTCTACTCGATTAACGCAAAACGTTTAATTAACGTTTATCGTTGCCATCGCATTCATTATCAAGATCATTCGCACTTTATGTGATTTACATGATATACATATATATATATATATATGTATATATATATATATATTACACTTGAAAGATAGTAGGATGCGAGATCAAAGTTTCCGGTTTACCGATAATTCGATCTGTTTATTCTGATACGCGAAAGAAATGAAAATTCTGCGTCCTTCTGCGCAGTATAGATTGTCCTTTCTTCTTCCGGTAACTTGTTGTTGCTGATTCGATGGAATCGAGAATGTTATGTAAAACGAATAAAAGTAGATGGAATTTTAGCGATCGATGGACGAGACATTGAAAAAGATCAGATGTCGAAGAATATTTTGATCGTAACGCTGCATGCCAAACTAAAGGAATAACGTTCTCCCTTCGTACATAGAAACATCGGGCATTTTGTTTGTTGGTCTTGAATGTCGTCTGTAGTATTTAGCGCTATTAATGCTTTCCATTGAGTCGTGTACCATAAGCAAAGTACAAAATAGTTTCTGAATCTTGAAACACCGCGAGGTCTACTAGTTTTCAATCGGAACACGTTTCGTTTCAACTCGATGGACTTGAATCGGAACGAAATCGGCACAAGCTACGATTCAAATCGGACAGACTAGTTTCTAGAAGACCTCGACGGATCGTGGCGCGACAAGCTTTCGCCTGAAATGTTAAACTGCTGGGCTAGAAAGGTTTCTTCGCGAACGTACAGTTACGATGCATCGTTTCGAGCCAACTCGGAGCGTACGTACCTGTACGTTCGCGGACCGATCACATTTAGTCCTCGAGTTTTAGCTTCTCGAGAGAGAAAGAGAGAGAGGAGAAATTTGGAGATGACATTTGTACACCTAGCATGATGATTCTTAAGCGTACAGCCCAGCCGAGAGAGCGTTTCGTACTAGGTAATATGTGTATTGTCATGTTTGTATGTGTCGAGCATACATCTTCCCTACCGTTTGTATCTTTGTTCTTCCTTTCCGTTGCATTTCAATACACGTGTACGCTAAACTTTACAAAGTTTTCCCTTGATTTTACCTCGATTTTCACAACAATTTTCTAAGCATACTTATTTTATTTGCCGAACAATCTAAACTCTGCCAGTTCAATTCGACTCGGCCGCTCTAACGTTCACTTTATTTTGTTCGAACAGATCTTGAAGCATAAAATCGACGGCATAAGGAGAATTTCGTCGCATCCACTTTTGCCGCTGTGTAAGCATACCGTTTGTTAGCTAGCCTCTCGCACTCTTGAAACAATTGCGCCTCTCGTTGCATTCAGGAATAATAGAATTTCTGGTGAAACGAAACTGATCAATTTTTTCCTGTCGGCGATCGACTCGCAAACAGACCTGACCGGTTCTCAAGACGGCTCGGTCTCGCTTTGGGAATGGGGACATCAAACGGCTGTAGCGACTCCCAGGCAACCAGGAACGTTCGCGAAAGTAACTCGCGTGCGCTTCTCGCAGCATGGAAATAAATTTGGTGTGGCCGATTCCGATGGGCATCTCAGCCTCTTTCAAGTAGCTTGCAGGGAAGGAACTGCTCGGCCCTTCTTCGTAAGATGCTATTCTATTCTATTCTATTCTATTCTATTCTATTCTATTCTATTCTATTCTATTCTGTTCTATTCTATTCTACTCTATTCTTTTGGAAATATTCAGATTAGCCTTTAACCGATGTATCCATTCTTCTTTCAGAACTATCAGTGCCATAGTAAGGTAACGGCAGACTTTGTCTTCCTCGGCGCGTGCAGTTTAATAGCGACTGCCGGCCATGGTTCCGAAGGACGTAACGTTGCGCTTTGGGATACTCTGCTTCCACAAAATAAATCTTTGATTCAAGGTGCGCACGCTCTTCTACTCGAATTAGTCGACACCGTATATCTCTTCATCGAACCTTTCTCCCGTTTTAGGCTTTACTTGTCACGAGCAAGGAGCCAGCTCGTTGATACTCGCACCCCAGCATCAGCTATTGATCAGTGGTGGAAAGAAAGGAGACGTCACCATATTTGACGTTCGACAACGACAACAACGTCACCGGTTTCAGGCTCACGAATCAGCCATCAAGTGTTTGGCTCTTGATCCGCACGAAGAGTTTTTCGTCAGCGGGGCAGGAGATGGTGATATCAAGGTCATATATATGCTCGATATACCGATTTCAAGTCATTCTGAAACTTACCATAACGTCCATCGTTTTCACGCTCGTCTAATCACCAGCCGGAATATCGTTAAACTATTCTTCTTCTATTCTTCTTTTCTTTCAGATATGGGGTTTGACTGTTCACTCTCTGCTTTACTCTTTTCCCGGAGAACACCCTCGGTCTAGTTTTTTCAAAAATATCGGACAAGTAAGTTAATCAAGCACAGCCGAGACACGTTTCCCGAAATAATAATGTCAAGAACATTTTTCAGGGCGTCACGCAGTTACACGTGGACTCTGCGGGACGTTTATTTTCCTGCGGTGCAGATGGATCTATGAAAGTTCGTCAGTTGCCGGAACGCGATTGTGTTATACACACTTTATATTAAGATAATGGAAACATGCTAATCCCTGCTAAACGAAACGTTCTAATGAAAATACTATTAAATACATACATGAATGTGTATATTCCTCGTAAAGATTAGTTGCACGAAATTGTACGACAAACCAATTTCCCCCTTACAGACCGATCAGCGGAAAGAGACCCCCCAGTCGTTTGAATGTCTCTCTCGCTAATCGTTGTTTCCTTAGAAATCGCATGTATATTTCCTTCTTTGAGTGTGTGTGTACAATTTCACAAAGTACCCCAAACTTAGTACCAAATTATTAGTTGATAGCATCTGTTAAATAAATATTCAGACCCGTACCTCGTATCTAATATTATGTAATTTACTTTTCGTTGTAAGCAGCAATTTATTGTATTTACAGTACTAGTAGTAATATTGTAATCGAAGAAATTTGTAAAAAAAGAAAAACAGCTTCTACCATGTAAAGAAATATTTATCGCAAACACACGGAACTGCATAGTATTTGATGAATATGTGTGTAAGTACATTGACGCATTGAAATTCCAAGTGAAAACAGTTGTTCTCATTTTATATTACACCATGTTATCGTAAGAATTTATATATTTATTTATACTTGTATTCGTCGTGTTACACGTCGACACTTTCGAAAAGAAAAGAAAAGAAAAGAAAAGAAAAGAAAAGAAAAGAAAAGAGAGGAAAGGTATTCGAGATGAATTATATTATACGCTTCTGCAAACGAAATTCTATCCATAGAATTTATTCGAAGAAACATTTCAATGTTCCGCTAGTTATCGTTACACCATCATACAATTCAGACACGATAGTCGTAACATAACTGCTTTTTACACTTCTAATTCGACATTTTGCAAAGCAATCGTATAAATTTCAATTTCGATGGATTTCGCAATCGAATGTATCTACATTCTCCGATAATAGATTAAATACGCGGAATCTTCCTCGAGTTCGTGAATCGTAGACTTTCTCTTATAAACGTGTGCATGCGAAAAATTAGCGATTCGTAAACCGTCTAAGGACGACAACGTTCCAAGAAACGTGGATAAAGGCAGGCCTCGCGTACGTGGTACCGATTTAAAAGCCAACAAAGGAATCTTTCAAGACCTAATCCGTATCCACCATGAGGACAACTTCCATATTTCCGCTAAACAACAGTTTCATGAAAATAAGCAAATTTTTGTAAAAATATTCAACCGTCAACTGTCATTCGATGACTGAAAAACGTGAACAATCTCACTCACCTGGTCCGAATACCAATAATAGGGCTTTGCATCGATGTTTTCGCGAGAATAACCCTCAGACAGTTCATCGTAATCCCAAATACGCATCGATCCGCCAGTTATTTCACCAACATTCGGTAACAGCAAATCTACCGATTCTGTAAGGCGTTTATCCTCTGCGCAACGTGCCATATAAAATGATTTTATTTCCGAGGGAAATCTGCAGAGCATTATCGGTTCATTCATCGCGTCGGTCATTTTTCTCTCTGGCATTTCAGGTATATCCTGAAGAAAAAGAAAATATATTGACAACATGGTAAACAAGTGGAAATTTCTGAAATCCCATTTCATTGGAAAAATATCCTCAAAAGCGTACCGATCGATCGTACCTCCCCAAATTCATAAAATGTTCCATCTTCTTTGGTTATACCATTAGCTCGAAGATATTCGATTGCTTCGCTGTAATCTAATCTTTTAAACGGCCTCTTTGGCTCTTTAAAATCCGGGTTTAGTTCCCTCACGACGTGACCGATGGACGAGTTTAAGACACGATCCACGACATCGCATACCAAATCTTCTATTCGATCGAGCAATTCTTCAAACGTGATGAATGGACACTCCGCTTCTATATGAGTGAATCTAAAATTTATCATAGTATATAGAGGAATTTTCCTTATAGGTATCAGTTTCTTTTCTATACCATACATGTATATATTTACTCTGCCAAGTGTCTTCTGGTCCTAGATTGTTCTGCTCTGTAAGATTGGGCGATACAATAAACATCACCCATTGCGGGAAGACAAGTTTCAAGGTATAGTTGTGAACTTTGAGTTAGAAATGCCTCTTCTCTAAAAAGAATTATTAAATCGTCGTAGAATAACGAAGGATCCGAATGTTACGATACTTCCTCCGAACAAATCAATACGTGACTCGTAAAGAAACGATACTTTTATTCTACTCACCCAAAATAATCCAATTTAAATAATGTAGATCCACCTTCTACCTGTGTCTGTACTAACGTCGGCGGTGTCACTTCGAAATAACCCCTTTCCTTATAATGATCCCTAAATGCCTGCATCAAGACTGATCTTACCATTAATATACGAGATGTCTAAAACAAGTGAATTCGAATAGTTTAATTATTAAAATCATCAAAGAAATTGTAACATCGAGTATTTTACATTTTCACCACGTATCATCATATGTCTATTGTCTAACTGCACATCTGGATGAGCTTCTTCGTTTAAAATAGAATCTGCACCTCCAGGAGGAGACGAACCTATCAGTCTCCAATAGTCGACGTGTAATTCGTGTCCATTTGGAGCCTGAAAGATACAAGGCCTAGATAATTTGGAAAAACATTTAGTTAAGTTACATAATATACTGTATTACGCGTAATACATTTTTGCCTTCTGGCACAATGTTCAATGTTCCAAACACTTCGATAGATGCTTCTGTAGATAATGTCAAAGCCTCGTAAGTTTGACATAAAATATCATTAAACACGCATTGCAGAAAACCAGTTCCATCTCTTAATGTAATAAACATTAAAGCCTTGCCTAAAACAACAATATTAGGATTAATAATCGAAAGAGAAAATATAACAATTTATTACAAAATATTGTACCTTGGCGTCTAAGTCTATGCACCCATCCGAAAAGTTTTACACGTTCACCTCTGTATTTTACGCTTTCTTTAATTTTTATACGTTTCGCAGCTGCTAAAGTAACATCTTCTTTAATTACAACTGTTTTAGCCTCTTCCAGATTCTTCAATCTGTTTTCCTCGTCTTTCAACAACTTTTTCTGCTTTTCTTCATTTTTATATTGTTCTCTTACCCATATTTTTTGCACTTTCTTAAACTGAGATTTCGAAACTAATTCATACTTTTTACCATCCTCGTGAGAATCTTGATAAATTGGTGGGAACGGCTCTTTTCCGGCATGATGCATTGCTTTCAAAATAGTTTTAAAAGGATTACATTTAGAACCATTGCCTGTTTCATCGCTTCCATTCTTTTGAGAAGTATAAATGCTATCTAAAATAAACACGTGTAGAATGAGTCGTTCTTTCGATGTTCTGATCGTAAACATTAAGAAATTAAAAGAACTTACCTAATGCTAAATCTGAATTTTCCTTCTCAGCCATTTCTCACTGCAACGTTAATTGTCTTTCCTTTGAGATCCTTGTTTCGTTTAATTGGTTGAAGGGTGTCGAACCACACTTGGTAGTAATGTACTGTTTCACTCAAGTTGGATCTCTGCTGATGCAACTTATACGTAGTTACACGCGGAATGTGCGGATCAACGTATACCGACACGTAATCAATAACTGCAAACTTATTACTATAGCAAACGTGTATATGGACTATACATGATCAAATTCCTCTTGCATGCCTATCGTTCAAATTTTATACGGTTTTGTTTCCGTAATTTTGTGTCTTTATCGTTTCCATCCCTTTTATCTTTTGAGAAAGAAGAATAACGATCGCAAACTTCAGATCCTGTACACTCCTACTATCGAGGGTCCTTAATCGGTGCCGCGGGCACTCTAGTGACACTCCCCTTAGGAGAAGTTACCCTTTCCATACGTACTTTTGTCCTGTGCGTCGAACACACCGCATAGAACTGCGTGTGTATGCTTTCTCGGGCAGCTCCTCGAGTAGAGGTAGTGGGAGAACGCTGCTTCCGAGTTACCAGCGTGAGGGGAGTAAATTGGTACTTGGGGGCACCACTGTCCCAAAATAAGGACACAGATCAGACTCCAGTATCTGCAATACCGACGAGACAATGAAAACCGTATTTTCCTAACATTCTATTTCAAATTATACTGGTTTAAATGTAAGCAGATCAGCGAGTACTTAAGTACTTACGCATCGTACGAAATACAGTATACGGGATACTTGATTCCTACTAACAAGCTTAAATGTCCGTAGTATCGATAAAGTCGAGAGCATGACGTTGAAATACATGCGCGCGCGCGCTTTCTCTCTTCCCCTTACACTGCACGTCCGCGCGCTCACAGGGAGTGCAGATAAAAGTTTTTTTCATCGTTAGAAATGCGAAGTAAAAACAAAAAGCTTGCAATTTTTTAAAAAGAAATAAACGTTAGAAATTTGTAATAGATTATTCGTTACACAATGGCTGGATTAGAACATTACGAGAGAGTTTATCGCGGAAAACCTATTAGACATTGGGAAAATGAAAATAACTTTCTGTACGGACACCGTGGACAAGAGGTTATACGTCCTTTGGATGTTCCCGTTGTACATCCTTTAGCTGTAGATAATCCCCCTACCGATGGTAAGTTTCGATTAAATGCACCAATTAATGTTAATTCTCCACTTTTTTCAAGTTATATCATAAATTATAAAAATACCCTCGTTATTGTATAAAACGATGGGAGATTTGACCATAGACTATTGGTAAATAGTTCTGTATACAGTACTTTTAATTAATATGTCTCCTTGTATTAACATATTTCAGATATTATGAAAAAATACATTGGTCCAGGTTGTGGTCTAGTAAGTTTAATTACAGAAAAGTTATTAGTTCATCCGTTTATTGTTCTAAGAAGACAATGCCAAGTAAATCCTGGATCAACCAAATACCATATAATACCTATTACCTTGGTACCTGTTGTTGCACGACTTTATCAAACTCAAGGAGTAAATACCCTTTGGAAAGGAATCGGATCAGTTTTACTTGTGAACGGAATGACCTTGGCTATCGAAGATTTCATTTCTAAAATTACATTATGGCCAAAGTAAGACGATTTATTGGATATTACTTAAAAGTCTGTCTATACAAAACCTAAATGTTAAAGCAAGGA